GGGAGAGAGGGGGGAGACAAACTTAGAGAGAGCCAGGGGGGAAAGAGGGTAGAGAGAAAGACAATGTAATGAAAGTAGACTGGAGATATGTTTCTACACTATCAAAAATAGTATGTGAACTATCATTTTTCATGTAAGTACTATACAATATATACAATATATACTATACAATCTAGTGTAAAATTTTAAATGTGCAACCACATCGAGGCGTTCCCTGATGTTCTAAATGCAGTGGAAAGGTATTTTCTCTATGTACGGAACTTCGCTGCCAGGAGGACTTAAAGGATTCATTTACCAGACAAGCCCTGTAGCCTGTGGTGACCGAGTAATCCAGGCTTTCCATTTTGGTTGGTTTCCTCATTCTGACGCCTCCATTCCTCCCAGTTCTTCTTCATTTCCGGTTTCTGACACTCCATTTATCTTCTCTCCCTCTTCTTCCTCCTCCTTTCGACATTATTTCCTTCTTTTTCCCTTACTGATCGTTCTCTGACACCTCCCACTCCTATCAACTATATGTCATCCGTTTTCCCTTATACGCTTTTGTCTTCCATCCCAGCATTTTTCATATGCCAGTCCTCGGTACATTTTTATTATTTCTCGCCTTTTTTTTATCGCTTTCTTCCTGAGAAGACTGTTTAGAGACGATTATTCAATACATTAGTACATTTATTCAAAACATATGGACCTTTATTCAAAACATATGGACCTTTATTCAAAACATATGGACCTTTATTCAAAAATATATGTACCTTATTTTAAAAGAGAAACGTTCATTCAAAGTCTAATTAATTTCGGTAAAATTTATAGGCACATTAAATCATGATTTGATTTTATATAAATATTTTATAACTATCCATGGATAGTGATGGTTATTTCAAGGAACAATGTGTGTGTGTGTTTGTGTGTTTTTAGGTGAGTAAGGGTTTGCTCAGGTGACTAGAATGCGATCTAGTCACCTGAGAATGGCAAGAGCGTGAAACATGAGTAGCGACATGTGCTGTTCTTTGCTGAGTGTTGGCGTTGGGAATTGTTTTTTTTTTTGTTCTGTTTAGATAGTCTTTGTGTTGAGCATTTTAATTTACTGTGTTGGTTGGTGTTTGCCTTTTTTTTTTTTTTTTTCTTACCTCCTGGATTTTTTTTTTTTATCTTTTGTTGTATTTATATTTTATATATATATATATATATATATATATATATATATATATATATATATATATATATATATATATATATATTATTTGAATAAAAAACAGACCACTTTAAGGTTCTATGTAATAAATTATTTCACCACAGCCCTTTTAAAGGGCTCTGGATCATCAGACTTTACTTCCAATGGATTTGAAACGAAAATGAAAATTTTTTCATTTTCATTTCAACCTTTTGATGATCCAGAGACCTTTAAAAGGCTGTGGTGAAATAATTTATTACATTTAAAGTGGGTCTGTTTTTTTATTCAAACATATTTGCTCTAATTTACATTGAGCTCTCTCGGATATCATCCTCCTTGGGTCTACCCATACGGATTACCTAGTTTTGCATAAACTAATATATATATATATATATATATATATATATATATATATATATATATATATATATATATATATATATGTGTGTGTGTGTGTGTGTGTGTGTGTGTGTGTCGAGTATGGCTAGGATATGATAGGATGATGATAATGATGATGATATGATAAAATGATAGGATAAAGAACAAGTAGGAAACAGATCCTAATCTAACAGGTTTCCCTTTATTAAAGCTTCGTCAGAGATCAAGCTAGAAATGATAAAAAATGATAAAAAGCAAAGAAACTCAGATTAATGGTATGTTGTGTTTGTATCTAATCTTTGGTAATTAACTGAAACTGAGATATCAAAAAAAAAAAAAAGCATGGCACATGGATTTAGAACAATCTGCCCCCTAAATAAAGGGTTCGACTCGAAATTCCAACGTATATCATCTGAAGAAGGCCAGATCGTACAACGACCGAAACATCGTGAATATGGCAATAAAGATGAGGACAACAGTCCGAATGATGTAAATAGTGTAAAAAATTAAAATATCTCATTTCAGAAATAGAGACAGACTTGGATAATTTGAACATTTTTATTAAAAATCAATAAAGGTGAATTTAAGTTATCGGTGTAAATATGGCTTCAAATGGTAGTTTCATAATTTTTGGAGCACATATGTTCGGAATTTAAATAAATCTAAATTGAACTGTTCAAGAAGTAATCGATAAAATGGCGGAATTTTCCTCTGCCTCATATCCAAGGGAAGTAACTGCTTGAGGCCTGTTGACGTTGCACGAAAGATCTAGCTTAAACATATCTTTTTAAGGTTTCATCGCAAACATTTCTCTTTTATACAGTGCAATTTATTAACTTCGTTTAAATAAATGTTTAGCCTCTGTCAGTCGATAATTTACTCTTTCTTAGAACTCCATTTCTTTTTCTTTTCTTCTGTTGTGCGACACTCGAAGATATTTACTGGACTCGGCCA